TGTTTTTGCTTTTGCTAGATTAAATCAATCAATTATTGCTTTCCCTTATATACAAGTGGGTTTTTTTTTTCTCCTTTAGTTTATGTATTTGTTTAAGTAATCTCTACACTCAACATGGAGCTTGAACTCATGACCGTGAGATCAAGAGTTGCTGCTTTTCTGGCTGAGTCAGCCAGACGCCCCCTTTATAAACAAGTTTTTAAATTATGCTTTAACAGGGGAAGGATTGGTCTTTGACCTTGTCTTTGCTCTGCATTCTTTCCCAAGGTCGGTTCTTCACTGACGTATTTCCGACTTTCACCACTCCGACCACTCCCAAATCTTAACTATCTAACCACAACCAGGCTAGGTCTGCTTAAATGTCCCACCATCACGCCAAACTCACCACATCCCAAATGAATTCATTTTCTTCTTTAAGCCAACCTCTCAACCCCAATTCCCAACACAAACAGGCTGAAACCAGAGTTATTTTCAACTCTTAGGGAATGCTTCTCGGACTGATTCCCTGGATCCACAAGGAAGGATTTCCTCTAAACACTCCCAACATCTCGCTGTAACTCATCCCCTGGCTGAAGTTCAGGGACAGAGTGCCAGGTTAAGTGTAGCTTGGCCCTTTCTTCCCTTCCTTATTTTGGGAGCCAGCTGCCCACAGGTTCTGCTGCTCTGTGTTGGAAGTTTTACAGGAATAGGCTCTGCCTTTTGGCAGGGGGGAAATGTTTTAGTGAGGAATGTGGGGAGTGAAATACCACATACAAGTTGAGTCTATCATGGGACCAGTACTGGAGGAGTTTCACACACTTTTCAAGCTGGCCACATGGAGATGCTGGCTACTTTGTTCACGGGAAAGAGTTTTATAACTGATTTTATGTACAGGCAGGGATGAATGAGTACCTTAGCCAGTCACAGGGCTCAGCAAAGGCACTGTCCTTACACAAGCACTATGGTTTAATTTTTTTTTTAAGATTTTATTTATTTATTTGACAGAGATCACAAGTAGGCAGAGAGGCAGGCAGAGAGAGAGGAAGGGAAACAGGCTCCCTGCTGAGCAGAGAACCCCACACAGGGCTCGATCCCAGGACCCTGGGATCATGACCCGAGCCGAAGGCAGGGGCTTTAACCCACTGAGCCACCCAGGCACCCCAAGCACTATGGTTTAAGCCTTACCACAGAACCACTGCCTCCCTTGTGGGGCATCTGCAAAGCCTAGGCTGCAGAGAAGATCTTGGTGAGCAGGCGGTGCTGAGGCACACATGTGACTACAGGGAAGTCTTTCCCTATACACGTCTTTTAGATATTGGGGCAAAACAAGTACTTGGTCCTTTACTATGTTTTTTAGGTAGTTCAACAGGCCAGTGGCTTTAAACTACAGTTAAATTCCACACATGCTAGGGAACACAAGTGTGTAAGCTCCAAACTTTGTTAGTCCCAGCCCAGCAGACAGCACGGAAAGGCTGTCCCAAATTCCATCCCTTATGTTCTGAGCTAGACTCAAGGCCAAAGGCCAAAGCCAGAAGAATTCATGTGTTGCTTTTTTTTTCTCCTCCTTCGTTTAAGGATCAATCCCCACTTGCTGGTCTGTCAATAACTCTGGCTAGGGTTTTATAGTTCTGAGATTTGCAATGCAGATTCAATCTTTAAAAGATGCTAGGTTTTATTTATAACAAAAACAATGCCCTTATTATAAATAAAATATGCCATCCTCTCAGACTGAAGTAGAAAAGCCACTTGATGAAATTACCACAGCCACAGAGGTTGACAAGGAGATGAGAAAAGCCTGTGCCTGGCACACTGTCTTAAGGAACCACCTATGTTCAGAAAGTTCAGGGAGAAATGCATAGCTTTAGAAACTTGCTCTTTCAGATTAGAAGCAGTACAAGAATGAAAACAAAGGAAAAGAGATTTTTTTAAAAAGACTTTATTTATTTATTTATTTGACAGAGGGAGAAAGAGATCACAAGCAGGCAGAGAGGCAGGCAGAGAGAGAGGGGGAAGTGGGCTCCCTGCCAAGCAGAGAGCCCGATGCAGGGCTCGATCCCAGGACCCTGAGATTATGACCTGAGCCAAAGGCAGAGGCTTAACCCACTGAGCCACCCAGGCACCCCAAGAAATTTTTTTTTTTAAGAGACATTTTCTTAAAAGAAAGTTGACATCTGGGCGCCTCAGTCAGTTAAGCATCTGCCACTGGCTCAGGTCATGACCCCAGGGTCCTGGGACCAAGCCCCAAATCGGGCTCCCTGCTCAGGGGGGAATCTGCTTCTTCCTCTGCTGCTCCCTGTGCTTGTGCTGTCAAATAAATAAAATCTTCCCCCCCAAAAAAGAAAGAAAGAAAAAAGAAAGTAGATGTCTTGGAAAACAACTGAGAGACTAATCTCCACAGCATAGGCCTGGAAGTTCATTCCTTCCCCATTTTCTGTAGCCTAGCAAAGAGCTGGCTCCATGGTCTTCCTTCTCTCCAACAATAAAAAAGTCAAAAATTCAATGAGCCTTCTGGAAAGTAGCAGGGGAACACAGGGAAAAAAAATGCCAAAAGAGAAGTGTCTGAAAGAAATGTTACTCCCCATGTAGCACATCCAGAAGCTGAAGACAGTATCTTGAGGAATGGCAGAGGTCTCTATTCTCACTGGGTCCCTGAGGCAACAAACTTTAGAAGAAACAGCAGCTTCGGTAAAAAACAAAAACAAAACAACAAAAAAAAAACCAGCAAACCACATAACCTGCCAGAGGGATTCTGAACTGGAATTCATGGCGTAAAGGATCACCCTCCTGCCCTCCACATACAGGAGCCAAGCGTCCTGGGCCTGACCAACTGCACAGCAAAACATAGTGGCCAAACGAGGCCTGCTCGCGGTGGGGCTGGGTAAGCTAGGTCCTAGGAGCCCACCCTCAAGGCAGCCTGGGGATGCAAACACAGGCCGCAAAAGAGAAACAGTACTGAGAAATTTGAATATGCTGGATAAAAAAGAAAGGCATCTCAAAGATGGGGTTTGGGGCTGCCACTAGTGTAAATTAACACTGCAGGAAGGTGGCATCATCTTAACTACCACTAGCTAAAGACAAGATTAGATACAGGTAGATGCCCCTCAGGATATAATGAACACAGGTCCTCATCAACCTCATCATGGGTGATCCTCCCAACTGAGTTCAGACTCACTAGTTAAGTGAGTAACTGGTATAGAATTCCTTGAGTCCCAGTGACACTGAATCAAGACCTTTTCCGCCTATTCACCTTCCCTTATGTACCACTGAGTAGCAGAGTCTTTTGACAGGTTTCTAGCGACAAAATCTGCTACGAGCTAGAGGCGGCCTGCTTTCTAAATTCAGTGAATGTGGGGCAATACCGTGATCATTCTGTATGGCCTGTTAATGACTTAGATTCTTTTTGTTGTTGCTGTCGCTCTAAAGCTTTTAAGAGACCTGGCACTGAACTCTGGCAGCACAGAATTATAAGGCAGACGAATCTGGTTCTCACACTGTTATGTTCTCCAACAGCTCCATTAGTATTAGCTAAGCTGATATCTGTCTCCACCTGCCTGCCATTCGTCTATTTCTCCTGGTTCTAAGCCCAAGTTCAGAAAAAGTTACTTATTGGGTCTCCTCCTAAAATCACATTTGCCCTTACTTTCATAAGTAGGCTTGTTGCTGAAGATAGTCAAAGCAACTATAAAATATGGAACCACAGCCTTCTCCGGTGTGTGTGTGTGTGTGTGTGTGTGTGTGTATAAGACAGGTGAACTAATGACCATGAATCAGCAAAGTCCCTATTTCAAAGGTATATTAATGAAGATGAAGGTAGAAAACAGGGGTGCCTGGCTGGCTGAGCCAGTGGAACGTGCTGCTTTTGGTCTCACGGTTGTAAGCTAGAGCCCCCTGCTGGGTGTAGAAATTAAAAATTAAACCTTTAAAAAAAAAAAAAAAGGAAACAAAATTGGACCTGATGCATTTGGAAAATAAGACTAAAACCTGATGTCTGGACAGTAGCCCATGTTTACATTTACTCTCATCCTGTGAAGGCAAAAATGGACCTGTGCCTTCACCAGCCAGGCAGGACTGAACTTTCCCAAAGACACTTGGTGGAAACAAGCTGCCCGAAACACCGACCTGCCTTCCAACATCTCAGGAGTGCGACACCTGTATATTTGGCACCAGAGTCAGTTAAAAAAATATCTATATCTATACACACACACATAAACACACACACTAATGACAGCTATGGCTTATTTTCACTCTTCTCAAATTCAGTGACTCCTCCCAAGAAAAAATTCTGCCATCCTTCTTCAACCTGCCACACCGTCCCCCGTCCATACTCCGACTACACACCAAGAATACCCACAGTTCCCAACTCACCCTGCACTGCTTCAACAGACTCCTGGGTAACCCACCGCACCCCAAATTCCTTAGCGACAAGATCAAGGCCCTTACGACTAGCTCCCCGATCACTGACTAGCTCCCCTATCACTGCCTACTGACACCTGGACCGCAGCCCGGAACCCTGGGTCACCCCCACGTTAGCTGCGCTCCCTCGTGTCTCCGCGTCGCTTGCAGCTCGAGACTTTCAAAGGCGGCCTCGGCCCTCGCAATCAGCGCACAGCCTCTTCGTCCTGCACGTACCTCCGGCAAGTACTGGCCACCAACCACGCGGCACTAGCCTAGACAGAAAAGAGAGCGCGAATCAGGCAAGGAAGGTTCGTCCCACCTCAGACCGCCACCCCCCCCTTCCCCACCCCTGCTCAGGGCGGCCCCGGAACGCCGGCCTCCCTGCCGCCTGGAGGCGCCCGAGCGCCACCTCGAAGAGGCCGCTCCCGCCCGAGACGGCTCTGTCCTCTCGTGCGGCACGGGACAAGCCCATGGGGAGAGACAAGGGCCACCGGCGTGGCCGGACCTCGTGCTGCAAGCCGCCTCGCCTGAGCCCGGCCGCTGCCACTCACTGCGCCGTCCCCTCGCGGACCTCACACACCCGGCGTCCGCGACCGGCTGGGTCCGCTGCTTCCCGGCGAGGACCCCCAGCAGGCTGCCCGGCCGAACGCCCGAAGGACCCCGCGGGGGCCGCGCAGGCTAGCTATCGCAGTGCCTGGTGGCCGGGCTCCGCGCTGGAGGACCAGGTGGCTCCAGACCTGAACTCCGGCTGGGCTGGGGTCGGAAGAGCCCTGGATCTGGGGTGCGCTTAGGTCCTGCTTCGAAGGCCAGGAGTCGCGCGGCTGTAGGCCCGGAGAAATGAGGGCCAGCGAGGAGAGGGGTTGGTGTCAAGAAATGGGGCTGAGAGCCTGGTGGTTGGGGAGCTGGGCCTCAGGTGTCGGGGTGAGGGTAGGGGATGGGGAGACGAGACAGAGTTGAGGGGTTGCAGGCCCCCGCGGCGCCTGGGAGGAGGGGGGCTCGGTCATTGCCCACCTGGAAGCAGAGGAATGGGCGCCTCAGGCGTGGAGGCGAATGCCCAGGCAACTTCTGTAACGATTCTCTGATAGAGGAAATTTAAAGTTGAGCGATTTTCTTGACCTGTCAGCATTTGTTTTTTGTTTGTTTGTTTGTTTGTTTTAGATTTTATTTATTTATTTGACAGAGATCACAAGCAGGCAGAGAGGCAGGCAGAGAGAGAGGGAGAAGCAGGCTCCCCGCGGAGCGGAGAGCACGATGCGAGGCTCGGTCCCAGGACCCTGGGATCATGACCTGAGCCGAAGGCAAAGGCTTAACCCACTCAGCCACCCAGGTGCCCCCAGCATTTGTTTTAAAGACTGTCTTTACTTAGCTGGCATTAGGAAAGGAACAACATCCTTTCCTGGAGAGCCCCTGGCAGCTTGGCCTTGCAGTAGCTGAAGGAGGTTCATTTGGTCATTCATTCATTCATTCATTCAACAAATACTGTGAGAGGCAGCTATGTACTAGGCACTTGGCATAGGTACTGGGAATAATATGATGAGCAAAACAGACCCCTGCTTTAATAGACCTGACCTAACGGGTGGAGACATAACTGAAGAAAATGTCCAAAAAGCTATATAATAGTGGAAGTAAGGGACGCCTGGGTGGCTCAGTTGGTTGGACGACTGCCTTCGGCTCAGGTCATGATCCTGGGGTCCCGGGATCAAGTCCCACATCGGGCTCCCAGCTCCATGGGGAGTCTGCTTCTCCCTCTGACCTTCTCCTCGCTCATGCTCTCTCTCACTGTCTCGCTCTCAAATAAATAAATAAAATCTTTAAAAAAAAAAATTTAATAGTGGAAGTAAGCTAAGATCTAGTGGGTGAATAGGAAGTTACAAGAGGAGGCACATTCTGGACTGTGGAAACGTCTCAGGCAAAGGGCTAAGGAGTGCAGTGATATAATTAGATTTGTATTTTTCCTTCATTGGCTGCTTAGCGGAGAACAGATTGTAGAGGCTGGCAGGAGTAGAAATTGAGAGGCCGTGGAGGAGTTGCAGGAGTCCCAGGAGGGTTGATGATGTCTTGGACTGAGGTGGTGGCCCTGGAGAAGGAGAGGAGTCTGGTGATGAATGTGCATGTGGAGTGAGGGTGGGGAGGGGTCAGGGATATCTCTCCCTAGATTATGGTGAAGATTTGGTTTGCTTTTGGGTTACTCACAACCTGGGATATTAGGGAGAGTGGGTTGGCTGATCTTGAACCAGTTAGACTAGACTTAGTTTTGTGGTTTGAGTGGATCATCCAGCTGAAAACTGTAGAAAGGACATGAGTAGGGGAGACCCTAGCACTGCCTTTGACATGACTGTCGGACTTTAAGCCTGAGAGAAATGAGAACATTGTCCATACTGACCCTGTGTGTGTTCATGGGAGCCTTCTCCATATTTGTTGCTAAATTTAGGAGCTCCGCCAGATAATCTTTTGAGACCTAGTTCTTGGTCCTGATCAAATGATCAATTTCTCACATGTGAATAGCATTTCACAGTTGGGAGAGACCTCAAATTCTTAGTCCAGTTTATTTATTTTTAAAAAACTATTTATTTGAGAGAGTGAAGAGAGAGAGAAAAGGAGCAGGGGGAGCACAAAGGAAGAGGGAGAAGCAGACCCCCAGCTGAGCAGGGATCCAGCCATGGGGCTCAATCCTGGGACTCCAGGATCGTGACCTGAGCCCAAGGCAGACGCTTAACCAACTAAGCCACCAAGCGCCCCATCTTAGTCCAGTTAAAAAAAAATACTTTCATGTTCTTATATCATTTCCATAACTATTTATTGAGCTCTTACACCATGCTAGACTCTAGGAATACAAAGATGGACAGATACGACTGTATAGGTTCAGTTAGTCAGTTAAACTGACCTTTGTCGTGGGCACTGTTTCGGCAGCTTCAGATACGAAACAATTACAACTGGTCCTGGACCTTGGAGTTGCATGTCCACAAGCCTTGCCATTGAGGACAACCAAGTATATTAAAGGATTTGATTTTGGCAGGGGAGATCCTGACCTATCTGTAAGATTAGATAAGAGATGGTATATATCCAGCAAACTTCTCTGCAGGTATCCTGGCAAGGTCCCAATTCTTGTCCATCCAATCTTCCAATTCTAGGATTGATGGGAGCACACTGTGGGATAGAAGACCTTATTAAAGGAAACAGTTATTGTACCTTTGTGGCCAGGCTGTTTGGCAATGTAAATTATAAATCCTCTAAAACACAAAGAAAAGTTAGGAAGTGAAGGGAATATTGGCAGAGACAGGCAGTGTCTAAACTTGAATTTCTCCTGAATAGCTAACTCCTTTGTATGTAACTGCCACAGGCTTTGGGAGTGACATCCCTGTGGGCTTGCAAGGCAGTGTGGCTCTGGAGTAGGGAGGGTGGGGAGCACACCACTGATAGGTCCCTAATCCAGCTTTCTGATGGCAGGAGTGAGATGACCTCGATCTTGCGGAGCCCTCAGGCTCTCCAGCTTACTCTGGCCCTGATCAAGCCTGATGCTGTTGCTCACCCCCTGATTCTGGAGGTAAGAAGGAATCCTAAACCTCTTACTGTATGCCCTGGGCACTGCATCTCTTTCTGGTGCCACGGGGCCACTTGTGAAGACTGATAGCACAGTCCTGTGCAAGACACAAAGCTAGGAGCTGTGGACTCTGACCCTAAGAAGACTAAAAATCTACTGGAGAATTGGGGCAGATTAAAAATATAAGGATCCAATACAATAAGAAGAACCAAACCTCAAGACAGTGCATGTATATTAGTTTTCTGTTGCTGTGCAACAAATTACCACAAACTTAGCAGCAAATTGCCATAAACTTAGCAGCTTAAAATAACATTTATTATCTCACAATTCTAGAATTTAGAGGTCCAGTAGGCTCAGGTGGGTTTTTCCTCAGGATCTCAAGGCCCAAGTCAAAGTTTCAGCTGACCAGGTACTTAGCTAGAGGGTCTGGGGAAGAATCCACTTCCAAATTCATTCAGGTTGTTGGCAGAAATTGGTTCCTATGGTTATAAGACTGAGGTCCCCATGTCCTTGCTGGCCTTCAGGCGAGGACTGCTCTGAGTTTTTAGAGACCGCTCACATTACTCATCACATGGCTCACTCCATTTCAAGACAGCAACAGTGTATTTAGTGCTTCTCATGCTTTAAACCTGACTTCTAGCCAGATAAAACTCTGCTTTTAAAAAGCTCGTGATTGGGGCACTTGGGTGGCTCAGTCGTTAAGTGTCTGACTTCAGCTCAGGTCATGATCCCAGGGTCCTGGGATCGAGCCCCACATCAGGCTCCTTGCTCAACGGGAGGCCTGCTTCTCCCTCTCCCACTCGCCTTGCTTCTGTCCCCTATCTCGCGGTGTCTCTCTCTCTGTCAAAAATAAATAAATAAAATCTTTAAAAATAAAATAAAAAAGTAAAAAGCTCATGTGATTAACTGGGCTCCTCTGGATAATCTCTGTTTGGATTAAAGCAAAGTGAACTGATGGCTGCCTGGCTAGCTTAGTCAGTTGAGCATCTGACTCTTGATTTCCGCTTAGGTCATTCTCTCAGGGTCATGGGATCTAGTCCTATGTTGGGCTCCACACTCAGCGGGGAATCTTTTCAAGATTCACCTTCTCTCTCGCCCTCTCCTTCTGTCCCTCCCCAACAATGTTCTCTCTAAAAGAAATAAATAAATCTTAAAAAGCAAATAAAGCAAAGTCCGCTGATGGCAACCTCAATTACACCTGCAGAATCCCTTTTGCCATGTAATGTTACAATCATATTGCTTCATATTCACAGTCCTGGAGAGAAGGGTGCAGAATCTTGTTGGTACTGGGGGAGGGTCATTGTAGGGTTCTACCTACAGTAGTTCTATAAATACTAACTGAGCAGCTCTGCTAGGTAAGCTGACTGTGGTGTAAAGGAAGACCAGAGCAGTCAGAAATGGTGGCATCGACGTGTTGGGACCTGGCCATGCTCAGAGGAAGGGTGGACATCAGTCAGTGCATGGTGGGGGGCAGATGTTCCACAGAGGGAGATACTGAGGCAGGAACATATGTGGTGGATCTGGGGGCCACAGGAAGACTGGGCCGGTGGGACTAGAATTGGAAGAGGTGGAGGGCAAGGAAAGTATAGCCTTGAGCACTGGGCTAAAGTAGTTGTACCTCATTCTATGAATAAGGTTCTGACCAGAGTGTGACATGTAAGTTATGGTGCTTTTAATCTGTCAAATGTGATGGTTTGGAGAGAATGGGACAAACTCAAGTCAGGACCAATATCAAGAGATTTTTATGATGGTCTGAAGGGGGGTTGTGTGGGTTTCTGCTCAAGGAGCTGTAGGAACAGAAGGACAGAGATGCACTTCCTGCCCCCTGCACCCGGGGCTCATGCTCTGGCCATGTGACCAAAGGTCTTTACCTCACCTCCACCATCTTTCTCTTCTGACCTGACAATGGGACAGACCCTCATGTCCTGGGCTCTGATGGGTCCTCGTGGTTCTTGTGGTCAGCCCGGGTCTCCTGTTCACTCATATGGTCACTTTGACCAATTTTTGTCTTTGACGTGATGTTTATCCAGGCTGTTCATCAGCAGATTCTGAGCAACAAGTTCCTTATTGTACGAATGAGAGAACTTCTGTGGAGAAAAGAAGAATGCCGGCAGTTTTACAAAGAGCATGAAGGTAGGATCAGCAGTCCTCTGAGTGGGAGGCTTCTCTATCCCAAGATGTACGCAAGAGAGATTTTCACCTGGATGCTCAATGGCAGGCTGTCTCTGACCTACCAGCTGTCAAATTGCAGCCATTCTAAAGTGCTTTATATACAAACTTTTCATGATTATCATTCTTTTAAAATTACTTTCCAGGGGGCACCTGGATAGCTCAGTCAGTTGAGTGTCTGACTCTTGATTTCGGCTCAGGTCATGACCTCAGGGTCATGGGATCGAGCCCTGCGTCAGCTCCCCACTCAGTTCGGAGTCTGCTTGTCCCATCTCCCTTTGCTCCTCCCCCCAGCTTGTGCTCTCTTTCGCTCTCTCATTCTAGTTAATTAACTAATTAATTAATATTTTAAAATATATATGTTTTTAATTATTTTTATTAACATATACTGTATTATTTGCCCCAGGTGTACAGGTCTGTGAATCATCAGGCTTACACATTTCACAGCACTCACCACAGCACATACCCTCCCCAATGTCCATAACCCAACCACCCTCTCCCTACAAATATATATATTTTTTCTAGGAGGGTTCCACTTCCTAGTCCCAACCAGAAATTTAGTTTTATGTCCTGATGATATCAGTAGTTAATAGTGAATGTTTACTCTTTTAGACATTGTCCTAATGCTCATGGTTGCATTGAATTTTCTCTAGAGCCCTATGACATAGATATCATTAGGTCTCCAGTACATAGATTAGGAACCCGAGGTAGGGAAGTTAATGACCTATCTGAAACCACATAGGTTGTAAGTGACAGGGCCTGGATTCAGACCCAGATATGTCAGACTCCAAAGTCCTCTAAAAGAGTTTTTATGGGGGCACCTGGGTGGTGCAGGTGGTTGAGCTCAGGTCATGATTTTAGGGTTGTGGAATCAAGCCCCATGTCAGGCTCTATGCTCAACATGGAGCACCCCTGCCTCTCCCATCTGCACGCTCTCTCTAAAGTGGATGAATATTTTAAAAGATAAAATAAAACAGCTTTTCTTATTCCAAGTAAGGAGGCACAAGTACTAAAAGTTCTCTTGGGCACCAGTGTCTTGATGAAGTTACTCTCTCTTTGCAGGGCGTTTTTTCTATCAGCGGCTGGTGGAGTTCATGGCCAGGTACTTCTCATTTTCATTTCGGCATCTTTATGCACCAAGATTTACCTCCCCCTGCTCCCTAAATTTGTTGAATTCATTTGACACTCTTTAAAGTTGTAATCGGTGTTAAGTGTCTGAAGAAACATGGCTTGGGACCATGTCTAAACCAACACCGACCTGGTAGCCCCCTGTCCCATGTTGGTTAGTGGTCCAATGGCTATAGAACAGTATTGGTGAATGCTACTTAACAACTCTGCTGACCTCTGTGGCCTTTCGTGTACACCCACAGTGGCCTTGTACCACCTGCAACTTGAAGCAGCACGGGTACTTAGCCAGAAAAGCAGGGTATCTCTCAGGATATAGTGTGCCTTTATTCGTGCCCTGCTCACAGTGCGCCCTACTCAGCCACACAGCCAGATTCTTGACATGTGTTCCTCCTGTATACAGCGGGCCAATCCGAGCCTACATCCTGGCCCACAAGGATGCCATCCAGCTCTGGAGGACACTGATGGGACCCACCAGAGTGTTTCGAGCACGTCACGTGGCCCCAGATTCAATTCGTGGAAGTTTCGGCCTCACTGACACCCGCAACACAACCCATGGCTCTGGTGAGTCTACCTCCCCTATCCTCAGCAACATATAAGGGAGGATGGTTTGCCATTGGTGCTCGGGCCATATGGTGGAATTGTGAGCCAGGTAACCTTGCTGTGCACTTTCCTCCCAATGGCCTTTCTGGCCCCTGTGGCCTGCTCAGCAGATGTGGCCCCAGGACCGAGGGTCAGGCAGAACTAGAGGCTCAGGTTTCTGAATCTGATTATAACTGCCTCTTGCCTCCATCCTGCACTCCCTATGAGAACCCTTTCTCTTTCTTACCTCTCCTTATAGACTCTGTGGTTTCAGCCAGTAGAGAGATTGCAGCCTTCTTCCCTGACTTCAGTGAACAGCGCTGGTATGAGGAAGAGGAGCCCCAGTTGCGCTGTGGGCCCGTGCACTACAGCCCAGAGGGAGGCATCCACTGTGCAGCAGGACCAGGAGGCCCAGGACCAGCCTGACACAAGCCTGTCGGTCTGTGAAGACTGGTGGCATTTCCCAGCCTTTTCTTGGAGACCTCCTGGGAGCAGGGAGGCCTGGGAATCATGGCACCATCTCTGCAGGCACCACACCCACCTGAGGACCTAGCTCCTCACTGCCGCCTGCTCTGGGATCTAGCTCTCTATCTACCTCTTTTCAAGAATGTTCATGGGTGATTCAGAGAAATAATGGCTCCTCTCTTCTCTGAGAACTATTTGTCTTTCTCAAGGAGCTTGCCTAACTGACTTGCCTGGAAAATGCAGTGACTCTCTATAAGCACCATTTGGCCTATCTTTCTTTTTCTTTTTTTTTTTTTTTTAAAAGATTTTATTTTATTTATTTGACAGAGAGAGATCACAGTAGACAGAGGCAGGCAGAGAGAGAGAGAGAGAGAGAGAGAGGGAAGCAGGCTCCCCACTGAGCAGAGAGCCCGATGCGGGACTCGATCCCAGGATCCTGAGATCATGACCTGAGCCGAAGGCAGCAGCTTAACCCACTGAGCCACCCAGGCATCCCTGGCCTATCTTTCTTAATAAAAGTCAGCATTCTACTAAATCCTGAAGGCTAAGAGCACTGTTCTAGGTGCTTTCTCTCTCTCCTTAAGTGAAGTAATTAAGCCTGTCCCAGGGATGCCTGGGTCACTCAGTTGGTTAAGCATCTGACTCTTGATTTTGGCTCAGGTCATGATTAGGTCATGGGGTCAAGCCCCACGTGGAGCTCCATGCTCAGTGCAGAGTCTGCTTGAGATTTTCTCTCTTTCTTGCTCTGCCCCTCCCCCTGCTCTCTCTCTAAAATAAATTTTAAAGAACAACAACAACAAAACTGTCCCGAACCCAGTTCCTGGTCTATGCTAAATAGAGAGAATTGTGCAGAAATCTCCCAGAAGGTTCACACACAGTGTGCATCTTGTCTAGTGCATAAAAGCACCCAGTGACAGAGCTGAGTGTGGGCCCAAATCCATGCTATGCACCTGGCATAAGTCTGCCTTCTAGGGGAGGGGGCACCTTTTATTTGAAACAAAGGTGTGTCTACCCAGTAGAGGCATGTTTCTATGACTCACTTTTTTTTTTTTAAGATTTTTTTTATTGATTTATTTGACAGAGAGAGATCACAAGTAGACAGAGAGGCAGGCAGAGACATAGAGAGAGAGGGAAGCAGGCTCCCTGCCGAGCAGAGAGCCCGATGTGGGGCTCGATCCCAGGACCCAGAGATCATGACCTGAGCCGAAGGCAGCGGCTTAACCCACTGAGCCACCCAGGCGCCCCTCACTTTTTTTTTTCTGATTGCACAAAGCCACTAAAGTCAGCCACATCTGTGTTGGATATGAGGATAACAGCGACCTATTGCTGCATTACAAATCACCTCACAATCTAGTGGCTTAGAAGCATGATTTATCTTTATGTGTCTCTGGATTGGCTGGGTGATTGAGCTGGTCTCACTTGGATTCACTCATGTAGCTGCAGGTAGGTCAAACATGGTTTTTTATCCTGAGCTGCTTCATAGCATGATTGTTTCAGGGTTCCAGGAGGACAGAGCCCCATTCACAAGCTTATCAAGCTTCTGTTTATATCATGTTTGCTAATATCCCATTGGCCAAGGCAAGTCCCGTGGCCAAGCCCAGCATCCATGTGGGAAGAGACTAGGTAAGGGCCTGGGTACTGGGAGGTGTGAATCACTGGGGAGCCATTACTAGGGCAATCTACCATACAGGGCGTAGTGAGGAACCTTGAATTTATATGGAATTTGTGAAAATAAGTATTTGCCCAAGTTAACGAAGGAGATGAAAAAATAGCCTGAGAAGAAAGGAAAAAACCAAGGATATGTGCATCAGGAAAGTCAAGAGGAGAGAGTGTTTCTGGAGAAAGAAGCAATGTTGCATATTATCGAGAAGTCCAGAATGATGAAGCCTTTAAAATAACCTCTAATGTGGCAGCATGGACACACACCCTACATTCAGGTCCCAAGGGCAGACCTAAATTTAAAATGTTCAGTGTTCAAGTCTGAGGTCCAAGATACAATCCTAATATCAAAGTCCATGTCCAAGGACCAGGTTTAATATCAGGACAAATTTACAGACCAATTCCACATCCAACACCTACAGCAAGGTTCAGGAGCAGGTCAGTGTGCAGTTCCACAGATTACATCTAAGATCCAGATCCAAGTCTAGGTCCATGGTCCAGGTCCAACATCTATGTTCATATTTGAGGCTCAGGTCCAATGTTAGTGTTTAATGTCAAACCTAGGTCCAGGTTCACAGTCCAGATTCAAGGCCCCATGTTCAAGGTTGAGGTACACTCAAACACTTCCAAAGTCCAGGTCAGTTCAAGACCCAAAGTCTGGATCCAAAGTCAGATCCAATGTTGAGGTTCAAGGACCAGGTCCAAGGTCCAATTCTAGGTGCACTTCCCAGGTCTAAGCTGAGTCCAAGATCTAGATTAAATCCATGTCTAAAGTCCAGGTTGAATATCTAGTACTAGGTTGAGTTCTAGCTCCAAGATCCAAATACAATTTCTAGTCCCAAGGACATGTATGATGCATTCTGAATTATAGGGCCAGGGTCCAGAAATAAGGTTCATCTTTAAGGTCTGATATTCACATTTGAGATCCAAGTCCAGGACAGAAGCCTAAATCTAAGAACTACATCCAGGTCTGAGATACAAGATGAAAGTCAATTTCATTGCCAAAACTCACTGCTAAGATTCAAAATCTTGTTCATATGTGCAAGTCCAGGCTAAAGGTCCAACCAAATGTAGGCACCCATTTTTAAGGTAAGGCCTATTGTCCAAGAAAAAGCAAGATTTGAGATCCAGGGTCACCTGGGTGGCTCAGTTGGTTGAGTGTCTGACTCTTGATTTTGGCTCAGGTCATGGTCTCAGGGTCTTGGGATGGGGCCCTGCATCCAACTCTGCACTCACCATGAAGTCTGCTTGTCCTCCATTTGCTCCTCCCCTGCTCTCTTTCTTCTCTGTCTCTCTCTCTCTCTCAAACAAATAAAAAGAATCTTAAACAAAACAAAATTTCAGCTATTCCTCCCTGGGCAGGAACCTCTATGAACCCCAGCTGTCCTTGGAGTGTTTGCCTCCTTTCCCCATCCCTTCTTCCACTCACAATCCTTTATTCTGAAGATCTCACAAAACCGTGAGCCTGTCATTGTAGAGATTGGGCCATTAGAGACCTGATTTCAATACCTTTTCAAGAAAGGAAGGGGTGCCTGGGTGGCTCAGTCAATTAAGTGTCCAACTTCTGATCTCAGCTCAGGTCATGATCTCAGGATTCTGAGATCTGGTGTGTCAGGCTCCATGCTTAGCAGGGAGTCTGTTTCTCTCCCTCTGCCTCTATCCCTCCTCCTCCACCCCAACCCTCCCCACCCACTCACATGCATGCCTACGAGCTCTCTCTCCCTCAAAACAAACAAACAAAACTCAAAAAAAAGGGGAGGGGCAGACCCAGGAGGGAATGATTCCTGACTGGAAGGAACCCAAAGCTATCTGGCCTGGACATTGGTCACCTCTGCATCTCTTCCTGTGATTCCTGGATCTGACAGTGGTCTCACTATGCCAGGCCTCTGTGGTGTCTCTACAATGTCTGTGTGGATTTTAATAGAAAACAAACATTTTTTCTTTCCTTTATGTTGACCAAGAGGGGCCATTTGGGCCCTGGGGAGGTAACACAGGCAAGAATGACTCTGGTTCAAAGAGCTTTAGCAGCATAGTGAGGACAGATACGAGTGTGCGGCTGAAAGACTGCGCACAGAGATCGGGGGGCGCTCTAGAGGCACCATGCTTAAAAGCCTCGAAACCTGGTATTGTCAGGCTGATGGTGGACATTGCAAGAAATCTTACACCTGCCAGGGGAGGGCCAAAGCAGCACGATTATGAAGTCTAAGTCCTGAGACTGAAGACCTTTTGGGGTGTGGCTAAACGGACCTGGGTTTGGGATTGGAGGGGTAGCAGGAAGACACGGCTGAGGAGTCCCTCAGACTACGGGCCAGAGACTGAACCCTGAGTAATCACTAAAGGTGGGTGCAGAAGAGGATGCAGCAAAGGTTAGGGACATAGAAAAAAAATAAAACAGGAGAGTGTCATAGAAGTCAATGGAAGTTAATGGACTTGCAGAAGGAAGTAAGATTTAGTCGACTGGTGCAAAGACCACTAAAGGGAGCATCACTTGGTACCTCTGTTCTCAGAAGCTAGACCTCTGCCACCTTCACACTCACAGAGGGGTCAGGGGTTAGAAGACTGTCCCTGAAGCCCTCTCCAAGCTCTAATGGGGTTTATGGAGGACAGATGTGACTGTCAGTGTTTCTTACAAGGTCACCTCTAGCTAACACTTTGCACTCCCTGTATGCAGGCTTCTCCCTGAGCATGTCCTCTGCTCTGTGACAAGGAGTGATGTCCAGCTAAAGCCTTGTCCACAGAACCTTACAATCAAGGCTTCTCCCCTAAGTGTGTCCTCTGGTGTGGCTGATGGTTGACTTGTTGCTAAACACACACCCTTGCTCCTTGCACACCCAGGGCTTTTTCCTGAGTGTGTCCTCTGGTGTCTCATGAGAACTGACCTATAGCTAAAGCCTCACCCACATTCCCTACACGCATAAGGCTTTTCCACTGAGTGTGTCCTCTGATATGTGCTGAGAGTAGACTTGAGGCTAAAGTCTCGGCCACACGCCATGCACTTGTAAAGCCTCTCTCCCGTGTGTGTTCTCTGGTGGGGACTGTTTTGTGGCTAAAAGCTTACCCACACTCCCCCCATACTTTAGGCTTCTCCCCAGAATGTGTCTTCTGATGGGTGATGAGGGTTGATCTATCACTAAAGCCCCAACCACACTCCCTGCAGACAAGACTTGTCCCCTGAATGTATCCTCTGGTGTAGGATGAGGTGTGATTTCACTCTAAAGCTTTGGCCACAGTTCCACAGTTCCTGTACACATAAGGCTTATCTTCTGTGTGAATCCTCTGGTGCTTAACAAGGTCTTACTTTTCACTAATGCCTTGCCCACATACTGCGTGCACAAAGGGCTTCTCCCTTGTGTGTGTCCTCTGGTGTGAGAGGAGGTGTGACTGCGAGCTAAAAGCTCATCCACACGCCCTTACACACAAGGCTTTTCCTCTGTGTGTGTCCTCTCGTGTCTGATGAGATGTGACTTCCTGCTGAAACCTCGTCCACACTCCCTGCACACACGTTTCCCCTGTGACTGCCTTGTGTCTGAATAGGTTTGTCTTCTGGCTATAATCTAGTCCATGCTCTCCAAACTCAACTGTTCCTGCCCTCTCACGAACTCTGTGCACTTCCCCAGAGCTTGTGCTATGGGCTGGACTGAGTTGTACCTTCAGTACTCGGCTGCCTGCCTGGGAGCTTATGGATGGTCCCTGGGGTGAGTGAGGGAAAACCAGAGAAGTCCCCCCTCATTTGTACTCCCAGACAAGAGTTGAGAATCTCCTCTTCCTTGATTTTCTTTGGCCCCCCCAGTGGTTTTTATCAGAATGCTGTTGCCACTGCTGCTGCTGCTGCTGCTGGCCCTCTAGGCAAGAATCTCCTGGTTGGAGTGGATTTACTGAATATAAATCTGGACTACAGGATAACTGAGTAGTTCACATTGACTGAGAAATTGCTGCTTGCCAAAGACCAGAAAGCAGGAGGGCCAGGGATGAACTTCCGGTTTTGATTCTCCTGAAGAAAGGAGAGAAGGAAGTTCTGAGTCAGAGTAGTCATAGGAAAGACTCACTGGGCTCCTCTTCCTTGTCTTATGGTTAAGAGCTAGCACATTAATCATTCACAATGACTCATGTCCTTTTCCCCAAGCCGTAATTTACAGGACCTACATTTCCGTTCAACTTCTTTAAACTTTTTATATGGAAATAGTTTCAAATGTACAGAATAGTTGCAAGATTAAGAACAATACAAAGAATATCTGGGCACCCTCTACCCAAATTACCTATTGTTAACGTGTGATGTTATATATACATGTGTGTGTGTGCATGTGTATGTATGTATATTTTTTCTCTGAAACATCTGAGAATATACTGCATATGTCACGGTTCTTTACCCCTAAATACTTTGGTGTGTATCACAAAAGTAGGGGTATTCTCTTCCGTAACTACAATACAGTTATCAATTTCATAGATTTGACATTTACATCGTACCTGTATCTAAGTTTCATATATATTCCAATCTTGTCAGTTGAGCCAATAATGTCCTTTTATAGCATTTTCCCTACAGTACAGGATCTGGTCTAGGATCAGATATTATAATTAGTTATCATGTTTCTTTAGTTTCCTTCCCCTATTTTTAAAGAACATTCTTCATGTTCTAGAATATATAGAGAGCATTCCTGATGTTTTCCCATGATTAGATTCAGATTATGTACCGCACTCAATTTTTAAATATTACATCCTTTACCTGAACCCCAAAATCCCACAGCAAAACCTACTGTACATATTATCTTACAAGGAATCTTCCAAGTAAGCATCAGAGGTATCTTCAGCTCTATAAGTATCTGTAATTATACTAAAATTATCTTCTAGGCCATAACCAGTTACTCTGACACAAATAGCTACAACATTTGTTTCCAGTAAGAGAGAACCATCTTTATGACCTACATGGGAATGTCCTTTGTGACTTTTCCTATGGGAAGAAAGAACAGGTGACTTAGGAGTTACTCAGTCTGGATGTCCTCCAATGTAGAAGGTAGTATAGAACAGTGGTTAAAGAGCACATGTGAAATCTACATTTGAGTTTCCCCATCCATTCACAGATACTCGTTAGAGGACTAGTATGCATCATTCTACCAGGAAGTGGAGATTCAGCAAAATAAAAGACAGGGACGCACAACTGACTTAAGTGACCTTGGCTCTTGGCCCCCCGAATTAGTCCAAGATATGCTCTTCTCTGTTTTCCACAAATCAGCACCTACAGAAATTTTATCGTTTGTCTGCACTTACCTAAGAAATCATCAAAATTGGATTGCAGCTCTTCTAGCCAGCTAAAGATGATAAATCATGAACTCTTTGAAATCATGGGAGACCAGACCCTTTATTGGCCCTAACTGAAGACTGTTTCCTGATTAATAAAAGGAGTGTTTTCACCAAATATGTACAGGCCCACAGATTCATTCCATCCCATGCAGAATGCTAAATTTTTCATCTTTTATTAGCACAAATGCCATAAAACTGCCTTTCTAGTCCTTAAATATCTCTGATGTTTCTCTGTGAACTATTTAGTAAAAGTTTTTCTACTGGTATATATATCTTTATCTGACAATTAAATAAACTCAGAATTTTTTTTTTAGTAAGTTTTGGTGGTCTTTGCTTTATGACCTGACATTTGGATTCTAAGAGTTGTTATTACCATGACCATTTGCCATAATAAATAGCACCTGCATGGTGAGTGCTGTGAAGTGTGTAATCCTGACGATTCACAGACCTGTACCCCTGGGGCTAATAATACATTATATGTTAATATAAATTTAAAAAAAATAAATAGCACTTGCTATGGGCCCAGCATTTTGCTATACAACGTTTTTCATGAAAACCAAATTTAGTTCTGCTATTATCATTTCATAGATGGGGAAACTGAGGTTTAGAGGGGGTAAGTAACTTATCCACAGCTACAAAGTAAGAAGAGACAAGACAGGATTCAGGATGTGCTCTTTTTTTTTTTTTAATTTTATTTATTTATTCGACAGACAGAGATCACAAGACAGAGATCACAGACAGTCAGAGAGGCAGGCTGAGACAGAGAGGGGAAACAGGCTCCCTGCCGAGCAGAGAGCCCAATTCAGGGCTTGATCCCAGGACCCCGAGATCATGACCTTAGCCAAAGGCAGAGGCTTTAACCCACTGAGCCATCCAGGCGCCCCTCAGGATGTACTCTTAAACAAACCGCAGATAACTCTGACTACTTAGCATACAAAGGTTTATATCCTACTAAATCTGTCCTTAAAGGGAGAGAAAAAAGCTTCTAAGCAAAAAATGACACTCTTGCTGCCTTGACTAGGTTTTTGCAGAAAATAACAAGAATTAAGCGCCGGACACAGATGCAGTCTTCTGAGGGGAAAGCTAACCCAATTTGGCATATAAACTAAATCTGGAGGCAGTCTAGGGCTGTAAAGCTGCCACCAAGACATCCTGATCAGGAGATGTTCAAACACCAGCCCAACTGCACTGACTCAGGACAAAGTGGTGGGGGGGTAGCTAAGTCACGCTGCTCCAGAGGAGGTACTGAACCCAGTCCTAAAAGGATCCTCACCCATTCCAAAGGTAGTATTCCCTGGGGCCTGGAGAACTTTGCCCTGAGATCAGGAATAGAAGAAATGGGTGGGAGTGGGGGACTAAAACCAATTCTCTCTCTTCCTTCTCTTTTTTAAAGAGCAGGGTGGAGGGTGGGGTGGCAAGAGGGGGTGGAGAGGGGGATGGAGAGGGAGAGAGAATCTCAGGCAGACTTCATGCTGAGTACAGAGCCTGAGATGGGGGTTGTTGATCTCACAACCCTGAGATCAAGATTCACACCCTCCCCCAACTGAGCCAGCCAGGCACTCCCAAAGCCTCCTTTTGTACCCTGGTTTCTAAAATCTCATTTATTGTCCTGAAATGCAATATATATTTAATAAATTGTACCCATACAAAGAATATTTTTAAGATAATGGAATACCTTATCCAAAATACCAAAAATGAATTTTAAAAAGTAATTTGCAATAAAATATTATGCATTTCAATATGAATTTCTTGTCAGGACTACATTAAGAGACACAACAAAGCAATCAGATGTTCACAGTTTTAGGCAGATCATCGTGGACACGAAGTTACAAATGCAGACAGATACAGATGTCTTTTGATTACACTCACGTGCCTATTTTATTGGTGATAGACACAGGTGTGCTGTATAGGTGGTGACTCAAACACTGCCACCAGCACTGCCATTGATGATGTGATTTTTTTTTTCATATTGATAAACACCTCTTGGTAAAGTTTGGAAGTGTTTTCCCGATTTATAATCTATGCAAAAATTACCTTATGGTGTTATCTGAAACAGATTTATATTCTAGATTTAGAGCATTACAAACAGATTCATGGCCCATGGAGAAAAACCAGGAGAGGGAAAAATTGATACAGATTTAAGAGACATTTTAAAAAAATGGAATGTGTGGATCTTGTCTGAATCTGGATTCAGGTTTGCAAAAAGACTTTTTTGAGATGTTCAGGTAAATCTGAACATGGACTAAGTGTTAAATGATATGGAAGCACTACTGATAATTTTGTGAGATATGATAATGATACTGTGGTTATGTAAGGCAAAATTGTCCTTATTTAGTAGAATTGCACTGTGATATACTTAAGAGTGGCATGCCACATTATATGGGATTTGCTTTAAAAGATTCAGCAATGAGAGAAAAAAATATATGGAAAGAAAGGAAAGGATGAATCAAGAGTAGCAAAACATTTCAAAGCCTGAAGTGGATCCAATAGGATCCAAAGTTTCAGTGTAAAGATTAATTTGAATCAGGTTATTTTAAGGCAATTTTAACATAGTCCTCAGAATCAACAAAAATGTGAGCATAGAGAATAAGAAGACCAGATGAAACAAGATGAAAACTAGACCAAATTAGATTGGCCAGTTGAAAGCAAATTTAGGGACACCTGGGTGGCTCAGTCTGCATTTTTGGCTCAAGTATGACCCCAGGGTCCTGGGATCAGGTCCCACATTGGACTTCCTGATCAGCAGGGAGTCTGCTTCTCCCTCTCCCTCTGCCCCTGCCCCTGCTCATGCTCTCTCTCCCATTCTCTCTCAAATAAATAAATAAAATCTTAAAAAAAAAAAAAAAGAAATTCTCTCCCCTTCTCTCTGCCCCTCCCCACTGCTCATTTGCATGTGCGCTCTCCCTCTCTCCCCAAAAAACTTAAAAAAATCTTTAGGGGTGCCTGGGTAGCTCAGTCATTTAAGCATCTGCCTTCAGTTCAGGTCATGCTCTCAGGGTCTTGGGATTAAGCCCCACATCAGGCTCCCTCCTCAGTGGTAAGTCTGCTTTTCCCTCTCCCTCTGCCCTTCCCTCTGCTTGCTCTCTCTCTCTCTCTCAAATAAATAAATAAAATCTTTTAAAATTAGAAAAAATAAACTTTTAGGGGCACCTGGGTGGCTCAGTGGGTTAAGCCTCTGCCTTCGGCTCAGGTCATGGTCTCAGGATCCTGGGATCGAGCCCTGCATCTGGCTCTCTGCTCAGTGGGGAGCCTGCTTCCCCCTCTCTCTCTGCCTGCCTCTCTGCCTACTTGTGATCTCTGTCTGTCAAATGAATAAATAAAATCTTTAAAAAACTAAAATAAATAAAATAAACTTTTAAAAATAAAATACTATCATTTCAACACATAATCAATATTGAAAAGTTATAAGTAGTTTATATTCTTTGTCAAGTGTGTACTTGACAAAGCACATCTCAATAATGACCTTAAATTTTCAAAGGTTAAAGGAAAATGTAGTCTCACCAAAAACAAAAAATAAATAAACTTGTGGGGCAGAAGACACAAACAGACATTTCTCCAAAGAAGACATCCAGATGGCCAACAGACACATGAAAAGATGTTCAATATCACTCATCATCAGGGAAATGTAAATCAAAACTATAATGAGGTATCACCTCATACCCATCAGAATGGCTAAAATCAAAAACACAAGAAACAACAAGTGTTGGTGAGGTTGCAGAAAAATAGGAACTCTTGTGCACTATTGGTGGGAATGCAAACTGGTGCAGCCACTACGGAAAACAGTATGGAGTTCCCTCAAAAAGTTAAAAATAGAACTACTCCATGATCCAGTAATCATGCTACTAGATATTTACCCCCAAAATACAAAAATACTAATTCAAAGGGATACATGCACCTCTATGTTTAAAGCAGCATTATTTACAATAGCCAAATTAATGGAAGCAGCCCCAGTGTCCATCAGGAGATGAATAGATAAAGAAGATGTGGTATTTATATATAATGGAATATTACTCAGCTGCAAAAAAAAAAAAGAATGAAATCTTGCCACTTGCTCTAACATGGACAGACCTAGAGAGCTTAATGCTAAGCAAAATATGTCTGCCAGAAAAAGACAAATACCATATGATTTCACTCATATGTGAAATTTAAGAAACAAAACAAACAAGCAAAGGGGTAAATAAGAGATAGAGACAAACCATGAAACAGACTCAAGTATAGAGAATAAACTGACAGTTACCAGAGGGGAGGTGGGCCGGGGGATGGGTGAAACAGGAGATGCGGATTAAGGACTGCAGTTGTCAGGATGAGCACTGGGTAATGTATGGAAGTGTTGAATCACTATACTGTACACCTGAAACGCAATATTGTCTGTTAAATATACCGGAATTAAAATTGTTAAAATTAATTAATTAATTAATTAATTAACTTGTGGTTGATGGGGAAATCTTTTAGACTTGTCCAGTACTTAGTTACAAATTAATTAGAAGTAAAATTTAAAATGTAGTTCCTCAGTAGCGCTCGCCACAACAGGTGGTGTAGCCTGACCCCTGGGACAGAGGCGACCGGAGATTCCCGGCGGCGGCGGTTAGCACCATGGACAGTGTCCAGGACTCAAGGGGGAAAGCAACCCCTCTCCGCCGCAGGGCAGGTGAGCAGTCGAAGGAGTCCTCAGCAGCGCGCACAGAGCCCAGCCTCAACCGCCACATCCTGAGGGGCAGCCGGGGCCTAGGACACAGCTGACACCAGCTCGGCGCCTGAGGTCCAAGTTTGGGAGGAAGTAGGCCGGTCACCTCCTCTCTCCCTTGTCCCTTCGGCCCGCCGAGCCGGTCGGCCGACTCACCGTGAGCCGCCGAATCCCGAGCACAGCCCGCGGGTCCCACCTCCGAGCCTAGGCTGACAGGAAGGCGAAGCGGGGGCAGGGGCGACAGTGGCATAGGCAAGCCCATGGAGGACCGTGCGGCGATCCTAGGCGCCGCAGGTGGGTCAGAAGGAGGCGGGATTCTAACGGAAGTGCGTCACCCCACGGCGTGCAGCCGGCGGGGAAGCGTAGTTCAGAAGCAGAACGGTCTTCCGTCCCTCCAGTTTTTAGATGGGACCCCAAGTGCAGGGAGCTGTCACCGCCTGTGAATAGTGCCATGACCTTATGTGATCAGCACCGTGATGCCACATGATCAGAGCCACTGACTCCAAGTGATGGGAAATGTGGCCCCTCTAACCGTGACTGTGACCCCCACATGCTGGGGCCATGACGCAAGTAATCAGAGAGTGCAGCCCCCGTGCCAAGGGCCCTGACCCCACTTAATCAAAGGGTTGACCCCATGTCTTCCAGGACTGTGACCACCGCCTTGCTCAGAGCAGTCACCCCTATAGTGCTATTCTCCCAACCAGTATCTAACTTCTCTGGGGTCTGGACTGTAAGTCTTTGTGGGTAGGACCCCGGATCCTCATGTGGAAACCCAACTTCAACTGCTATTAACCCCACATAGGTGGGGCTGTTACCCCTGGTGCAGGGAATGATGCTAAGGTGGTAGGTAATTAGCTATCTTTTATAAACTGGGTGTAGATAAGTCAGTGAGCTAGATGGATGGAATAGTTAATTTGTGGGGGTGACAAAGTGGTTTCCATTCTTCCTGTTAAAAAATTATGGAAGGAAAAGGGAATGTGGGAAGGAGAGGGCGGAGGGGAAATCCTGGCTCTGACCACAGTCAGAATGGTTTTGTGATATATTAGGCATGGGAGAGATTTTAGCCTGCCACTCCCTTGCAGAGTATTCAGTAAACTTCTATCTCAATCAATCAATCTATCAATAGGATGGGAAAGATTTTAATGCCACTTTCTCAGGTCCATGAGCACAGATGACCAGAGCCCTGACCCACCTGGTCAGGACCGTGACCTCCACGTGCTCAGGGCCATGACCATGGTTCTCCTGCTGTGAGGAGGCTCTGCCAGGCCCTCAGGATGGAGGCGGCAAGCATCTGCTCCCTGTTGCTGCGGGATGGAGAGTGTCCTTCAGGTCTTGAATCCTGGAGCAGTCAGCCAAGTTGGGGAGGAAGTATGAAGGACTTATTTTTCCCTTATGCTCTCCATGTTTTTTAGTGACCTTTGATCCTCTCAGATTATCTCATACTAAACAATATAATATGACGGTTGAAAACACTGAATTTGCAATCCAAAAGAACTCATGGAAAATCCCAAACCCACCACTTCCTCACTTTGGAGTCCTAGTTTCATCATCGAAATGTGAACGAGGGGTCCTCTGTCCACCCAACACATGGTCTCTCAGATACAGGGCAAGAGGTTTAAAAATCACTACTCTTCAGGCAGTTTAACTGGGGTTTCCTTTGTAGATAAAGCTGAGTATTTCAAACTAGGCTGGTTCAAACAAACAAACAAACAAACAAATCAGCATATTCTTGTGTTCTGATGTGAATATATATTAGGTAAAGAGATCAGATTCAAAATCAGGTTGTAATTACATTCGTCATATTGTCATTATTGTGGAAATACAACGGAATTATTATCCTAAGAAGGAAGGGAATAATGTAACTTAGGGACTAGATGGATTAAGTGTGTCTATGGGAGAAAGTGTGCCCCTCAGCTCCGGCCTGAGGCAGCCTTACCCAGAAGCCTCCTTCACCCTGTCCGGACAAGGATAACCCCTGGCCACCTCTCCCCAACTCACCCAAGCTTCGCAAAGCCCTTCCCTCTCTGCATCCCTGGGCCTTTGGATCTGGAACCATCGGCCAGGAACAGTCCCAGGGTGGGGGAGGTATTGATGGGTCTGAGCTCCACTGTGCCCTTGGGTGACAAAAGCAGCATCCAGGTACAGACAGAGCAGGGGGTGGGGCTATGCCAGCAGACAGGAAACCCGAGCCAGACCCGGGATGGCTCTGACGCTGGAGTTTGGCAATGGGCAAGAAAACTGCCCTCTCTTTTACCAACTGGAGCCGAGGCTTGCCTATTTGCACCCTACTCGGATTTTGGAATCAGACTAGTCATGTGAAATGTCCATTCCCTTGCAAGCAATCGGTAATGTGATAAAGATCATGCCATGACTGGGTAAGAGGGAGCTGTATTCAGTTCACCAAACTCTTACCAGGCAATTTAAGGAAATCTGTCTATCTTGGGGAAGTTATTTGACATTTTCCTATCTTGGGTGGGGTTTCTTTTCCCTGTTTTTTGGTTTTGCTTTTCCGCCGTGTGCAGTGTGAGGAGATTACCCTTTATCTTCCTTAAGGAAGAGGCAGGGAAGGAGAGAAGCAGACATTCCCAGTGGCTAACTTTGGCGGAGGCTTCTAAGTGCCCCCTCCCTGCTCTTGACCGAGGATCCAGGCACCCTGGAAGCAGCCCATAGGGCTATAGGTTCAGCTTGAGGAAATCTTTCTGTGAAACCACCACATCTAGTTCAGCTGTCCAGCCCACCCCGGACCTCCCATGGGATCCGCCTCTTGGCCTAACCCCCTGCATGCTAATGGCTTGTTTGGATTGCTTTTTCACCTCACGTTTTTCTTCTGGATTCCACAGGCTCCCCTAACTCGGGGGGCCAAAGATACAGCACCCCAGGCTCCTGAGGTGGCCAGCCAGACCTGCCCTGGGGCCCCAGAACCAGACCACAGGGTCCCCTCAGAACCACGCTGATGTACACGTCCTCATCCCTGCCAACAGGATCGGGCCAAACTAGAAGCAGGCACTTGGTGTCTTTCAAATGCCACAAAGCCCTTTGTGAACAGGGAGGACCACTGGTGGTAACACAAACCATCAGGCTGACTGGCGCCAACATGTGGAAGAGGGGAAAACACCTCCTGACCCACTGAGCACGGCTCCAACATCCTCCTCTCCTAAAAGCCATGAGCCCATGTGCTCTGGGGCTGAAGCTCGTGTTATGGGGCAGTCCGGTGACAAACAGTATGTCCAGATGCAGCTAAAGGCTAAATCCAGGCCCATGGAGACATTTCCATATCCATCCTACTGATTTATTTACTTCTTCAACCACAGGTTGATACTAATCAAAAGCTTTAAAAACAAAAACAAACAAACAAACAAAACCTACAAAAATCTGGCACCGAGATCACAAAGAGGGAATATTGTTCATCCTTGGAGCAACACAGTGACGTTCTGCAGGAGATGAGCAGATGTGGACAAGGCCAAACTCCACTCCTCTCTGCTCACAGGCGGCGTCTGGCTTGTTACAAGGCACCAGTCAACGCACCTGACCTGCCATGCATGCTAGGGCTGCTCCAAGGAACGTGGCCCCAAACTCTGAGCTCCCATCAGTGGTTTTCACTGCGAGACCACAGCGAGGCTACATGCTTCCTCTGCCTCGTGTTTAAAGACCTTCCAGTCTTGAGTCACCAAAGTCGTCCTTGGATTCACCAGAAAGTTTGGGTTATCCACAGCCATACCTCTCCCCTAAAGGAAGAGAGGGACTGCCATTCCTCAGGTGCCTACTATGTGTTCTGGAGGGGACAACCCACAGCCTCAGTGACTGATACGGGTCAATGTCACCAGCGGCTCTGACCTTTTTTTTTTTTTTAAGATTTTATTTATTTATTTGACAGACAGAGATCAGAAGTAGGCAGAGAGGCAGGCAGAGAGAGAGGGGGAAACAGGCTCCCCTCTGAGCAGAGAGCCCGATGTGGGGCTCGATCCCGGGACCCTGGGATCATGACCTGAGCCTAAGGCAGAGGCTTAACCCACTGCGCCACCCAGGCAGCCCCCCCCTTTTTTTTTTTTTAAAGATTTTACTTATTTATTTGACAGAGATCACAAGTAGGCAGAGAAGCAGGCAGAGAGAGAGAGAGAGGAGAAAGCAGGCTCCCCTCTGAGCAGAGAGCCCGATGCGGGGCTTGATCCCAGGACCCTGGGATCATGACCTGAGCCGATGGCAGAAGCTTTAACCCACTGAGCCACCCAGGCGCCCCCAGTGGCTTTGAACTTTGTCTGGGGTGGTTCCTCTCATCACAAACACCTGTGAGGGCTGCTCAGTCTAAACACTGGGCTCCTGAATCCATGCTTCTGCCCCCAAACCAGCCACAAGGAGCAAAGACCATCCAAGGAGCAGTTAAAGGATTGACTCTACTACAAAAATAATCTAAATATAATACTGATTGTAGATTCTAATAGGTGGGTACATGTTCACTATACAGTTATTTCAATGGTTTTGTATGTTTAACTACTTTTTAACTTTTTATTTTATTATTTTTTCAGTGAGCTTTATGCCCAGTGTGGGGCTCAAACTCATGACCCCGAGATCAAGAGTCACATGCTCTACTGACTGAGCCAGCCAGGTACCCCCTGTTTAACTACTTTCTAAATAAAATACTGAGAAAAATCTAAAAACTAAATAAATCACACAAAGATGAATACCTTTGATGGAAGAGAAAACCTATTTCCTAAAGGAAGAGCCTTTCCAGAACCTTGTAATCAGAGGAGACCATGTCCCTTCACTAAGACAATTAACTCTGATTTCCAGAGCGATCACAATGATGGCCCACAACAGGGCATGGGAATTCAGTAGTTGACGAACAGTGGACGTCACAGAAAGGAGGGTCAAGTGGAAACCGCTCAACACGGGCCCACTTGGGAAGGTAGGAGCCATGGAAGCAGAAAACTTAGTGTGACCTGCTTACCAGGAAGAAGCAAGTGTGAGAGATAACAAAGGAAATGCTATGTGATATCCTGCCTCCTGTTGCTCTTAGAACAGGATATCTATGTCTTATTTTAGGTTGGCCCAGAAACAGATCTAAGACAAGGACACAAGGGGAAGGAGTTTATTTGGCAGGCAAATATGGAAAGCAGCAGTGGGGGCATAAGGAAGTGAGACGGAACAGGAACAGAAGAAGCCAGAACAGGGTGTGTTAGTAAACAGGTCATTGTTGTGGGCAGCAAGGCCACAACCAGTTGGGGACGTGAGCGATGTGTAACCCATCTTGGCGTGGATTCACCCAAGGAACAAGAAAGAGAAAATATTTTTCCACCAA